AAATGTAAACGTTTATTAAGAAACTGACGCCCGTGGCCGTGGGACACGATAGATAGCTCAGTTGGTTAGAGCATCGGCACGGATCGCTTAGGTCGTAGGTTTAAACCCCACCCGGTGTCAGTTGATTTTTCGAATTTCTCATTAAATGTTTAGACATTTATTAGTATGGTCTTTACTATGGCTATGTTAATTCAAGCTCAATATGTACCTACTCTGTTAAGTTGTTCTAAGATCTAAAGTAACGTTTAATAAATAGTAATAGGCTAATAGATCATTGCGAGACTTACGAGACTCTTGCTGCAAGACCAAGACCAAGACTGGGAGCGCAATACCAAGACCAAGAGCAGGTGTATTGGCGCAAGACCAAGACCAAGACTTGCTAAGTCTCGTCTTGTTCTTGCATTTGGGCAACACTAGTACCAATGTACTTTTGAGCTAGGAACAACATGATCTTATGGTTTATGGTACGCGTTAAGATTTTTTAGCTTTTAAATTAAACTTCAATATCTTTTATTATATTTGGCTTATTTTAAATATTCAAACAAATAACAGTATAATTCATAAAAATGTATATACTATAACAATAAGGCACAAATATTACGATCAGGTCCGAGGCAAATTTTTTGAAGTGAAACTTTTTACAGGAGGGCTTTGAATTTCTGATCCGCAACCTTTTTGTGTGACTAGAAGTGGTGGGGGTAAACACTACGTACCGAGTCATTAAGGTCAATCATTCAAATCGCGAACGCAGGCCATTACATACCATAAAGTATATAGTAATACAATTACAAGATTATAACGGCCATTCGTTCAAATACTAATCGATTAATTTTATTTAAGACAGTTACCAAGGTACTCGTATTTATTTTAGAAAGTGACGAAAACATTTAAGAAATAGCGCCATCTACTACATTTTTTACGTACCACCACGATAGTTAATCAATTTTGGCTCGATAAAATTAGTTACTTATAGAATGTAGTAGATGGCGGTATTAAAAAATGAACAAGGGAGTAATTTTTGAAACCCAATAAGGCAGAACAGCGTTTATTTTTTCTTTTAAATAATTTTTTGTTGACATTATAAAACTGGTTTCATTAAAATAAAATCCATAAATAATAGATCTAAAGTCCTTTTCATGAAAGAAGTCCCGCGGTGATTTTTGGAACTAAATTTGACAGGTCGGCCATGTTGTCGTTCGTCGATGTTATCAAGTTCGTTTGTTGTGGTAGATTTTTGTGAGTTTTAAACTAGCTTAGTGCATTTTAAAGATTGTTTACAATGCCAAAAGTTGTAAAAACTTCGGCTCGAGAAATGATATTGAAGGTGAAAGAATTCTGTGAAGCTGAACAAAAGAATCAAGGTGTTTTAATACCACTGAACAATGTTCGGAAGAGAGTCGCCACCATAACAGGTACTTGACATATAATAATTTTTTGCTGTATTGATGGGACTTTTATGATATAAATTCGTTTTGCGACAAAATTGAACAAATACATAACGTGATGAAATTAGGTAACCGAAATTAAAACGTATATTACATAGTACATAAGCATTATAAACTTAAAGTGACTATTATTTTTAATTGTTCATTCTTAAATTGCAGGTGTGTCAGAGAAAACTATAACAAGAATTACAAAAGAAGGTATAACAGCGGCGAGTACTTCGAAAAAAATTGTCACCCCGGGGAAGAGTCGCCCGCATCCGAAAAAGTTCGACTTAGACGGGTTCGATTTGTGCGCTATCCGGCAAAAAATTCACAGTTTTTACGTTGTGCATAAAGAATTACCAACTTTGGCTAAATTACGAGCAGCTCTTAGAGAAGACATCAATTTTCAGGGAAGCATCACAACATTGCACAGGATATTAAATAGGATTGGTTTCAAGTACAAGCAATGTCAATCCAGACGCAAACTACTTATGGAACGTCACGACATTACCGCATGGCGTGCAAGATATTTGGATAAAATACGAATAAATCGCACTGTGGAAAAACGACCCGTTGTATACTTAGATGAGACCTATATACACAATACTTATCATACAAAAAGTTGTTGGCAGAGTGAGGAGGAGCCAGGAATGTTCGTCTCAGAGTCATCAGGGAGTCGCTGGATAATCGCTCATGCGGGAACAAAAGATGGATTCATAAATGGTGCATTATTAATGTTTAAATCCCAATCAAAGTCCTCAGATTACCACGATGCCATGAACTCTGCAAATTTCTTAAAATGGGTGAATCTACCTGAAAGGTCGCTTGTGGTAATGGACAACGCTCCTTACCATTGCACTCAATTAAACAAAGCCCCTTCAATGTCAAATATAAAAAGTAGTACGCAGGAATGGCTCCGGCAAAAGCGTATATATTTTGAAGACACCTGGAGAAAAGCTGTGCTGTTTGAGCTAATCAAACAAAATAATGGTCCACCGATATTTGCAGTGGATGAATTATTAACAGCTCACGGACACGAAGTATTAAGGTTGCCGCCTTACCATTGCGACCTCAACCCGGTGGAGAAAATCTGGAGCCTTGTAAAAAGAAAGGTGGCGGATAAGAATGTGGCACAAGATCCAAAAGAAATTGTAAAATTAACTGTAGAGGCATTTGAGTCTATTACGGCGGAAGATTGGACAGCTCAGTGCACGCATGTCGAACATTTAGAGGAGGAATATTTAAAAAATGACGGCCTTATGAATGAAGAGATGGACCGAATAATTATATCTACGGCTAGTGATACTGAAACAGAATCTGATTCAGTTTCCATCCACTCTTCAGACAGTGATGTTCCTATGGCCGCTGATCACAATTATTCAATAAAACTTTGAATAAAAAATTGTAATGCTTTTCTTTACCCTATTTTCTCATCTTTTCCCTGTAAGTAGGTAGAACACCGCTTATAAAAGTAAATAAAAATATACTTTTTACATAACAGAAATATAGTAAATTATGTAAATGGACATTTTTATCAAAATTTATGTTTAAATAAACTTAAACTAGGAAATGTGACATCCCACGTTTCCCAGTACTGATCATGACCAAAAATCGTCGGCTTTTATTGCTTTGTTTTTAGTTTCTCACCTAAACACTGACACTATTTAATAATAACACGGCACTTACATAGACATAATAACGTTAGTTAATTGGACTTATTGCATGAGTCATCCCATGAGTGGGTTGGTAGACATTTTGATAAAAATGCCCAAATATACATTTCACTTATCAGAAATATACATGTTTCACTAATCTGAACTATTGTTATAGTATTGGCTTGAGTAATGAAATTACAGCCTATCTAAAATGTATTTATTTCTTAATACAATTTAATCGTTTCATCAAAGTCTGCAGGAAATAATACTATTTGATAAATTACATATGCTAAATGTAAAATAGGTAAATTTTTACTCATAAATGGCAACACTATGTCACGCGAATACAGCGCTGCGTCTGGGGGACTTCTTTCATGAAAAGGACTTTACCTAATTAACAAACTTTAAATGAGTTTTTTGTGTTATACTGGGATCTATAAAAGTTACTTCATTCCCTGTGGCGAGTTCTAGTGTTACCTAAACCGATAATTTCTCTTCTTAAGATCGAAGATGATGCACTGTGACACATATGTATTTAATTTTATGTAAATAAATGAATGTTATGCACAATCTATGCTATTCAAGTCATTGATGAAATATAGAAATGTTTCCATGTAATAAAAAGTTTCACTTATCGTGTGTCTTCATGACACACACTGTTTTTTTATGTGTGAATTTCTAAGATTAATTTAATAAATAAATACAGTTATCATAACATTTTTCGCATCATAATAATATAATTTATTAACATGGAATGCCGTCACTGATCGTAATTTACAAATATTTATATTTTTAACTTCTACACAATGTATTAAACACAATTGTGCAGGTCTGCTTAGAAGACCTTCTTATCACTATATAAAAAAAAAAGTTTTAATAATTTATTTAATAAGACTGTAAACAATAATCTACAAGTTAATATACAAGTTGCAATAATACTTTTAAAATACTTGCACTAACCTTTTAATAAGTTTGATTCTGATACAAATGATTGAATCAAAAGAATGATTCTGATTGCACACGCCATTGCTTAATTTCTTAATATCTAATGGACGGAAACAGTTCTGCGCAAGAGAACTTTTATGATAAGTATATAATATGATATAGTATAATAAGAAAGAGCCACACTAGAGTATCATGGTTGCAGGAGGTCGGTCGGCTCGACGGAAGGACCACGTTCACCCCCAATGCTGCTATAACTCGAATCGTTCTGTGTATATTCTTTTTATTGGTAATGGGGAATTCAAAAATAAAACTGTTGCCAATCTACATTGATTCGTAATCGATGATAGATGCAGTTGTCTATGTGGCCCGACTTTGACGATTGATTTAACACAGAATGTGGAATAATGGACAATAGAATAGCTTATTGTGAGGAAATTTTCTTATTGTTCACATTTTTTCCGATTCTATTTGAAATGAACCTTAGAGAAGAAGGGTATTATTAACTAACCAATAAATAATTTAGGTACAGTCATTTGTATAAAATTCGATGTTATGCCCAAAAATTAAGCAAATAATAATTTTACTTTGAATTTATACTTTTGGATAAGAGAAGAAAAGCATAATAACGGATCTTAAAATATTATTATGTGAAATAGTAATTTATATACAATTATCATCATTCATAAAAAATTTTTTTTTATAGGATAGGGTGACAAACGAGCATACAGTCCACCTGATGGTAAGTGGTTGCTGTGGCCCATAGACATCTACATCTATCCTCGTTCGCGAATCAAAATGCAGATGCGTTGTCACCCGTGAGGACTAAGATAGAATGCCTCTTTTCCAGTAAAAATAAACGCATTTGTTAGTAAATTGGTATGTGAAAGTAGCAAAGTATATTATGTTTATTGAAATTTCGTCTTTTATGTTCATGACTGTTCCTCTTCTATGAAACTAAAGAGTACAGTTACTGTCATACACATTTAATATTAACTTTAATAATAAGAATATCGTTTTTAACGAAACCGTTCCTCACCACGTCACTTACCACTGCATATTCAGTGTATCCGAAACCTCTTACACATATTTCCGCTGTTGGTTTCTTAAATGCTACGAGACTTGAGTTGGACATCATAGTATCCCTTTGCGTCATTTCAGGGTCGTATTGGTTGATCATCGCGAAGGATATCCTTCCGTTAAACGGCCACTCTAAGCAGTCGTCGTTTTCAGTCTTCATCAGATGTACGTGCAGAGCAAAACATAGAGGGTTTTGTGGGGATATGTTGAGACGAACGCAGAACCTGAAATTGTAACGTATTTAAGGCGTCTGAGAATCCATCAAGCATTTTCGACTCTACTGTTCTAAAGCCAAATAAAAATTATGGCTTTCGATAGATAGCATTATAACTATATACCTAGTCAGGTCATAAGTATTGTCACACAGTAAAAACTTTTCTTTTAGAATGCTGGCCACAAAAAAGTTTATTGAATTCGAATTTCTAATTGTTCATGAAAATAAAACTATATACTTTTTAGAATTTTACTCATTTTTAAATATGGAGTGGACGCTTAAAGAAGACCGTGTTGCAGTTATTGCGTTGCATCGTTGCGGTTACGCGCCAATTCAAATTTTTGACATACTGAAAAATTTGAATATAACCAAAAGATTCGTTTATCGTACCATCAAACGATACAATGAAGACTCTAGTGTAGATGACAGGTCAAGAAGTGGTCGCCCTCGGTCTGTTAGGACTCCAGCAGTGATAAAAGGTGTGAAGGCGCGAATTCAAAGAAATCCCAAACGTAAGCAGAAACTGTTGGCCCTTCAGAAGGGGTTAAGCAGAACCACGGTGAAAAGGGTGTTAAATGAAGACTTAGGGTTTCGGGCATATCGAAGAAAAACAGGACATCGTTTGAATGCTCGTCTAATGGACCTGAGACTGAAGAGATGTCGCGCTTTGTTGAAGCGGTACGCGGGAAGAAAATATCGGGAAATTCTTTTTTCGGATGAAAAAATTTTTACCGTAGAAGAGAGCTACAACAAACAAAATGATAAGGTGTACGCACACAGTAGTGAAGAAGCGAGCAACCGTATTCCGCGTGACCAACGAGGTCATTTTCCATCCTCGCTCATGGTATGGTTGGGAGTTTCTTATTGGGGCTTAACAGAGGTACATTTTTGTGAGAAAGGTGTAAAAACGAATGCAGTTGTGTATCAAAATACAGTCCTGACGAACCTTGTGGAACCTGTTTCTCATACCATGTTCAATAACAGGCAATGGGTATTCCAACAAGATTCGGCGCCAGCTCATAGAGCGAAGATCACACAAGACTGGCTGGCGGCGCGTGAAATCGACTTCATCCGGCACGAAGACTGGCCCTCCTCCAATCCAGATTTGAATCTGTTAGATTACAAGAAATAGCAACACTTGGAGGAAAAGGCGTGCTCAAAGCCTCAACCCAATTTGGAGTCACTCAAGACATCCTTGATTAAGGCAGCCGCCGATATTGACATGGACCTCGTTCGTGCTGCGATAGACGACTGGCCGCGCAGATTGAAGGCCTGTATTCAAAATCACGGAGGTCATTTTGAATAAACTTTAGTGTCATAAGAATCTATGTTTTGTTAAGTTCATTTTGGTATATAAATGGTTACATAATGAATAAACTTGTTTCAATTATTTTATATTAAACATGTGACAGAATTTATGACCTGACTAGGTATATGATAGAGGTGTGCTGCAGCTATATTATGGCTGTAGCAAGAATGGGTCGGTTCGACCGGGGTAGTACCACACTCTCACAGAATACCAGCATAAAATAGCAGCTCAATACTGCTGTGTTTCACATGGTGAGTGTAGAGAACAGGAGACCCTTTTAACTGGAAATGAGACATTCCATCTGTCCTCAGGAGTGACAACGCATATGCATTTTAATTCGCAAACGAAGATAGATGTAGATGTCTATGGGTCACAGCAACTACTTACTATCAGGTGGACTGTGTGTTCTTCACTGCCACCCTTATTCTATAAAAAAAAGGAAAATATCCACTGCTGTAAAAGTTTAAATTTTTTCTATAATGGTTTGAGAAACAATGGCTTTTTTATTATACAATGTGTTAATTTTACACTTGATCAAACGAAATGTGCGGATACTAGATAAAAAATTATCGGTAAAAAATCGAAAAAAATTTTTTTTATGTAAACTGTTTAAAAAATAAAAGCATTTGAACTTTGTTTTTGTTAAAATTCCTATCCTTCGGTTTTAAATTATTTTCTCTTTAAGTAAACGGTGTATTTTTTTCAAGGTAGTTTTATTTGAAAGTTAGAAAGATTAACTAGCAATAAAAATTAAAAAAACCTACGATATCAAGCAGGAAATTTGTCAAAAAAATAATAAGATAATTTTTTTTGTTAAAAAAATACTTTTCTTTTTAATTTTTGGTCTGTAACTTCAAAACTAGTACGTTGAGA